TTCTCACCCTCCACCAGAGTGACCTGCTGGGGCGACTGCACCAGGCGGCACCCGATGGCTACTTCTCTCTCCTCCGACGACAGCAGGGCAAGCACTGGCCCACCGAGGCGAGGGAGCTCCTAAGGGAGCGGGTGAAGAGATTCCTGGACGCCGTCTGGAGCACCGTCGACGGACGACTGGCGGTGAAGAATNAAGGGAGCGGGTGAAGAGATTCCTGGACGCCGTCTGGAGCACCGTCGACGGACGACTGGCGGTGAAGAATGCCCAGAAGGAGAAGGGAAAGAAGAAGAGGAAGCGGACCCGGGAGCCAGGGGAGGCAGAAGAGGGGCAGAAGAAGAAGACGATGACGAGCAAGCAGCAGCAGCAGCAGCAGACGAACACTACTGCTGATGAGGTCCAGGTCGTTCCGATGAGGCGATCCACCCGATGGCGCATTCCCAAACGAGGTCCGCAAGAGGACTGAAGAGGACTGAAAAGAAATCATTTATAAACAGTGCATCATCACATACAATAAATACATGTCACGTTTATTTACTGCTCAAGAAGTGTGTCACTTATAAATAATCGGTAAGGAAAAGAAAAGCAGGTGGGTGTTGGGGTGTTATCAGTTGCTGTGTTCGGGTGTTGGTCAGTGGAAGTGTGTGGTGGTGGTGGTGGTGGTGGTGTGGTGTAAAGGGATTCCGCAGAGAGATTCATCATCATCATCATCATCTTCAGTTCATCAGGTCACATTTACTCTGCCTGCTTCTCCAGCTTCGCCTCCAGCTTCTCCACAATGGCGTCCATAAAGTCCATCGTGTTGAGGTAGTCGCCCTCCTTGACGCTGTGAGGATAAAGCACAAATCCAATTAGTAATAAATCAGCAGAATAATGGGGGAAAGGAATGTCCTGCACCTCGAGGGTAGTACTCCCGACATCGATAGAGTGTGTGTGTCCGGCAGCCTCAAGTAGCGTACCAGGAGCGCGCACACAGTCGTCGGGATACCGAAGGTAAAAGTGCAGGCAATTTCGAATTCTCTACCTCCGCAATAGCATTCACGTTTTACCAGCACGCAAAAAGGTGAGGGGTAAACAGTGCCAAGAACTGGAGGACAACAACTAGTACGACAATTCCCATAAAGTCCCAAACTTACTTTTTGAGTCCGTGAATGGCGCCGGCGAGGTCCTTGGTCATCTGTCCGTCGTCCACCGCCTCGACGCAGCTCTTCTCCAGCGTCCTCACGAACTTCAGCAGCTCTCGGTTGTCGTCCAGCTTCGCCCGGTGCTCCAGACCGCGCGTCCACGCGAAGATGCTCGCAATGGG